TCTATATCATTCAAAAGTTATTTGATTATTGTGTGAGTTGTTTATATAATTACAATTAAATATTATAATTGGATAGATAAGAAGATAATTATAATTTAGTTAAAATGAATGATTTAACGTGCTCAAATAAATCAGATCAGTAATTAAAATATTTTAGTTTCCTATACATTCAAAAAAGGCAGAACTAAATTATATCCCGTGCCAACACACAGACGACATAACTTTAAAATTTAAATTTTCTAAAATTTTAATATAGTGACTTGTATGATTCAGCAATACAATATTAAGCAATCCAGCCAAAAACAACGTCACTCAGAAGATAGTTTTTTCAAAGCAGCTCATTGGAGATCTATCTTAATTCATTCCGGAGGCTCCAACCAGGGATTAGAACAGGAGTGCTTCAAGTTTTTAGTATCCAGTTATAAATCTTAGTACCAAACCATGCCCAATAAACCTTACCACAATTAGCCACTACTCAACGCATCTTATACAAAAGAAACATGTCTCAAACCTGATTGTGCCCTCTTAGAATAAAGAAACAGATAATAATTGACTAACTCATCCTTCTTACAAAGATAACAGCAGTTTATCACAAAACACAATCTTGTAATACAAATATTAATGCAGTTTATTAAGTTTTAATACATCATATATGCCTACTTACTACTGAATATAAACCCTTGAATTCTAAAAATCAAGTTTTTTAGTGTATTCTTCGAAGAATCCGGGTTTGGCCAGATCTAAAATTTTATTGTCAAATATATCTATCCACATATATAAATAAAATAAGTATCATCTTAAAGGAAAAACTAAAAGTGAGAATGTACTTACCTCACATTCCTTCTCTTCATCTACGCCTTGAATAGTATTGAAGTCAGGATCCTAACAAATATAAAAAAAATTATTGAGTTCGAAAAAGACTTAAAATAATAGATTTTAACAAAATCTGCGACTTAACTACATGTTTTTGCTATTGATTATCCGATGAATATGCACATAGAGATTACAAAAATACACGAAGAGCAAATAAAAAAATTCAGATTTGAAAATAAAAAAACGTAGAAGCAAACATGATATATGTTGTAGTATATCACTGAGAAACATATTTGAGAATACATATGTTTGGTGCACAAATTCTTCAATCGAGTTCTGGTACTGATTATCCCATAAATACACACATGCAAATCAAAAGACAGAGTTACCAAAATAAATTATAAGACAATAATAGATTTTTAATACCTTTCATCTTATAGAACATATTCAATCGAGAAAGTAGCGTCTAAATTGTAAACGATCTGCTTCTTCCAAATATTGCATTCTTGAAATTTTTATAGCCTTGATTCAAATTTTGCAAAAATCGTATGGTTTCTTGATTTTTTATAGCAATGGAAGATTTGAATCTAAGAACACTATCAATCGGAGAAATAGAAGTTGAGCGGCAGTTTGGGTTTGTGAGTTTCATGTGCGTATGTTTCATGAGTTATGCGTTGAGCAACTGTCCATTATCCTTAGATTAGGTTTTGTCGAGAAGATTTAGGGATAGTGGGTTTAAAATATGTAACTTCTTTTGTTTTAATTTACAACAATTTTCTCTTTTTAACGTAAAAGAGTACGTATATTTTAAAATTAGTTAATGTGTTATAATTAAAGAAATATGAAATTTGAAGTAAATAAAGCAGAAATTTTGAATTAAGTAAAGCTCTTTAAAAAAAATTCGGTCTTCATGGTTCAAAGTTAAAGAGTAAAAAACGTATTTTTAAAAAGTGCAACTTTTAATTTTTAATTTTTTAATAATAGTGTAAATCAGATTTATTTTTTAAAAGTTAAAGATTAAAAAATGTATATTTAGAATCAGTTCAATTTTTAAAAATAAAGAAATATTTAATTTTAATAAAATAACAAAGAAACCTGAAATTTGTGAAGGAGTTTTCAATTTTTTCAGAATAATTTATAGTTCCTATTTATTTGGAGGATTGTCCTAAAGTACCAAGTGGCGTATTGTGATTAATTACAATTAAATGTTATTATTGGATAGATAAGCAGATAATTATAATTTAGTTAAAATGAATGATTTAACGTGCTCAAATAAATCAGATCAGTAACTAAAAGATTTTAGTTTCATATACATTCAGAAAAGGCAAACTAAATTATATTCCGTGCCAACACACAGACGACATAACTTTAAAATTTAAATTTTCTAAAATTTTAATATAGTGACTTGTATGATTCAACAAAACAATATTAAGCAATCCAGCCAAAAACAACGTCACTCAGAAGATAGTTTTTTCAAAGCAGCTCGTTGGAGATCTATCTTAATTCATTCCGGAGGCTCCAACCAGGGATTAGAACACCAAACCATGCCCAATAAACCACAATTAGCCACTACCCAACACATCTTATACAAAAGAAACATGTTTCAAACCTGATTGTGCCCTCTTGGAATAAAGAAATAGATAATAATTGACTAACTCATCCTTCTTACAAAGATAACAGCAGTTTATCACAAAACACAATCTTGTGATACAAATATTAATGCAGTTTCTTAAGTTTTAATACATCATATATGCCTACTTACTATTGAATTTAAACCCTTGAATTCTAAAAATCAAGTTTTTTAGTGTATCCTTCGAACCTGGTTTGGCCAGATCTAAAATTTTATTGTCAAATATATCTATCCACATATATAAATAAAATAAGTGTCATCTTAAAGGACAAACTAAAAGTGAGAATGTACTTACCTCGTATTCCTTCTCTTCATCTACGCCTTGAATAGTATTGAAGTCAGGATCCTAACAAATATAAAAAAAATTATTGAGTTCGAAAAAGACTTAAAATAATAGATTTTAACAAAATCTGCGACTTAACTTCATGTTTTTGCTATTGATTATCCGATGAATATGCACATAGAGATTACAAAAATACACGAAGAGAAAATAAAAAAAATTTAGATTTGAAAATAAAAAAAACGTAGAAGCAAACATGATATATGTTGTAGTATATCACTGAGAAACATATTTGAGAATACATATGTTTGGTGCACAAATTCTTCAATCGAGTTCTGGTACTGATTATCCCATGAATACACACATGAAAATTAAAAGACAAAGTTACCAAAATATATTATAAGACAATAATAGATTTTTAATACTTTTCCATCTTATAGAACATATTCAATCGAGAAAGTAGCGTCTAAATTGTAAGCGATCTGCTTCTTCCAAATATTGCATTCTTGAATTTTTATAGCCTTGATTCAAATTTTGCAAAAATCGTATGGTTTCTTGATTTTTTATAGCAGTGGAAGATTTGAATCTAAGAACACTATCAATCGGAGAAATAGAAGTTGGGCGGCAGTTTGGGTTTGTGAGTTTCATGTGCGTATGTTTCATGAGTTATGCGTTGACCAACTGTCCATTATCCTTAGATTAGGTTTTGTAGAGAAGATTTAGGGAAAGTGGGTTAAAATATGTAACTTCTTTTGTTTTAATTTACGATAGTTTTCTCTTTTTAACGTAAAAGAGTACGTATATTTTAAAATTAGTTAATGTGTTATAATTAAAGAAATATGAAATTTGAAGTAAATAAAGCTGAAATTTTGAATTAAATAAAGCTCTTTAAAAAAGGTTCGGTCTTCATGGTTCGAAGTTAAAGAGTAAAAAACGTATTTTTATAAAGCGCAGCTTTTAATTTTTAATTTTTTTAATAATATTGTAAATCAGATTTATTTTTTAAAAGTTAAAGATTAAAAAATGTATATTTAAAATCAGTTAAATTTTTAAAAATAAAGAAATATTTAATTTTAAAAAAAAATAACAACGAAACCTGAAATTTGTGAAGGAGTTTTTAATTTTTTCAGAATATTTTATAGTTCCTATTTTTTTGGAGGATGGTCCTAAAGTGCCAAGTGACATATTGTGATGATGCCACTTGGCATAATGATAGTGCCTTTTCTTCTCCTTTTAATTATAGATAGATCTCGAACAAAAGTATTACGGTAAGAGTCCAAATAATTTTCAATTGTAGAGAAGTATATTTGTCCTTTTTCCTGTACAAATATCTATCATGTGATTTTAGTGTTATTACCACGCCGTTGAGAAGTAACGTGACCCTAGGGGTGTTCATAAAAATCCGAAAACCCAAACCAAACCGAAAACCAAACCAAACCGACCAAAAAAACCGATACTTTTTGGTTTGGTTTGGTTTTGGTTTTGAAATTTAAAAACCGATCAAAATTTGGTTTGGTTTTGGTTTTAATTAAAAAAAACCGAACCAAACCGAATATATGAGTAGCTATTTTAAATTTATTATTACACCTATATATATGTATACATTTATACAAAGTTTTAAATTTTTTATAGTAAATATTAATCTTTTGCACTTTTAGTACAATTCTTTACCTTTACATTCTAGTTTAATTGGTAGTTTTCTTTTGTTAAGTTTAAGAATCTATTTCATGTTAAAAATAATATATTTTTAATTGAGTCCTTAAATTATTCATCATTATTTGATTCAATTGTCATCAATATATCTTGGTAAATAATAAATTTCTTAAAGGGCAATTGATTTGATAGTGTTACGTTGAAAATGTGGTCGCCTAAATATGTGTTTGATGGTGTATGTCTTATATTTAAGAAAAAACCGACAAATAACCAAAAAAATCGAAAAACCAACATAAAGCGAATTGAGAAAAAACCGACTTAATTGGTTTGGCTTGGTTTTAATATTTGAAAAATCGACTTACTTGGTTTGGTTTCTTTTTAGGGAAAAACCGATCCAAACTGAACCATGAACACCCCTACGTGACCCGATGAAACAAACTAACGGCCCAATCTGATTACACTATCGTTAATTGAAAAATAAAAAAAATAAAAAAGAAGATTTTGCGATTGATCAACGGTCCCTATATCTAAAAAAGGTTTTGCGATTGATCAACGGTCCCTATATCTTGTATCTTGGTACTGTGTCAAAATTGTAGCTAGATCGGACGGTTACCAACATTCAACCATTTTTTTTTCTACATATAAAGCATTGAGATCGCTCGCTTCCACACGGTTACTTCTTGTGTACAATTTCAGACAAGTCATTTTGACTCTGCATTGCTCGCTTCTCGGTCAGTCTCAGTCTCTCTCTCTCGGATCGGTGTTGTTTATATATATATATGTGTGTGTGTGTGTGTATATTCTATTGGGTTGCTCCTGTTAACTGTGAGATTCAAAGAACTTTAATTCTTGTGAACCCTAATTTGCATAAAGAGGATCCTAATTGTAATTCAAGCGCCCAAATAGTAAAAAAAAGAATTAGCTGACAAATATTCATTGATTTCAATTATTCTTTCTCCTTTTTGAAATTCGGTATTGATTTCAAATGTTTTTAGCTCACAGATTGGGTTTTAGGTGAGTGCGTGTGCGAGTGAGTGTGATCTATTCGGTTGCTGCTTTTAAAAACAGATTTAACCCCGAGTAAGATGACTTTGAGATTTAAAGAACTGTAATTTTAGTAAACCCACATTTGCAGTGAAAAGAAACTATTTTTTGGAAGGAAATCAACCCAGAATAAACCAAATTGATGTATAGGGTTTATATAGCTAGTCTTTGGGATTAAGAAGTAAGTGACTGATTGATACACAATTCATTAGGGTTTGATTTTCTTAGAGTTTTTTTAGTAAGTATTGGGATATTTCCCTATTTTGATTGATTTATGGGCTTTGATTGTGTGAATATTATCAAACGTTTTCTCTTCCAATACTTAAAGGAGAAAATCATGCCCATTGGTTGAATCTTTTCATTGTCAGCAGTACTTTTGTTATGTATAGGTCGAGACTCATTTTATTCACTGTTTTTTCGAGAAAATTGTATCTCTGGTTGCAATTGAATGGGAAAGGATATGGATTTGTGTATCAATGGGCGGGTTCCAAAGGTGGATTCTATGGTTTATATGCATATTGCATGTACTTCTTGACATATACATATACTGTGTGCACGTTTTTAAATGTATGTTCATAATTTAAATTCATTTTGTTAAGGTTCTTATATACATATTGTCTTTTTAAAATAGTTTAAGATTCAGGGTTATTATTGTACATATATTTCAACTCCAACCAAAGCCGGGGTGCACTTAGTTGTGTGTATATTCAAGTCCTTGCCTTTTCAAAAAACAAAAAAAACAATCTAAGGTAGTAAGCACGCACGCCACTGTTTATGTGTTGCATCTACCTCTGCCATTGATTGACCTAAAAGAACACAGCTTCTTGTTGTACAAGGAGCTGTAGTGATCTTTGGTGCTGAATTTCTCTACGACCTGCCTGATCTTGCAGTCTTTATTTTCGTTGCGACACCATTCTTATTTTACAAAGTGAATTTGTGTAAGAGTAAATATAGCACTTAGCCCTCATCGGCTGTGTAAGGGTTTCCAAAGGGGTGTAAATGGCCTTGGGCTACTCCGCACCGATTGCTTTAAGGTTTTGGGTTGGGTGCTTAGATGCTTTTATAAGTAGAATGAATAGAAAGATAATATTTTCTTGGAAGGTTCATTTGACCACCAGAAGCTGAGATTCGATCAAGTATAAATAAAAGAATTTTGTTATGCTTAATTATTCGTGTGCAATTTACCCTTTTTTGGCTGTCTATTTTCAGATGGATTGGCAAGGACAAAAGCTGGTGGAGCAATTAATGCAGATACTGCTGGTGAGCTTTGCTGTTGTAGCATTCATCACAGGCTATGTGTTGGGTTCGTTTCAGATCATGCTGTTAGTATACGCTGGTGGTGTTGTCTTTACAGCGCTAGTCACCATTCCTAACTGGCCAGTCTACAATCGCCACCCTCTGAGTTGGTTGGACCCAAGTGAGGCCGAAAAGCATCCAAAGCCACAGATTACTAACCCCAGTACCAAGAAGAGGGCTGCCAAGAAGTAGGTTAACTGATTTTCACATGTCCCTTCTACTTAAAGGTTCATGGTGATGTAGCGGATAAAACTGTTGGCGGCTTTATTTCCTTTGTCTTTTATGACATGAACTGAACACCTTGTTGCCCCGCATGATTGTTGTTACGTCAACACATTGGCTATTGAAAGAATCAGTTTTTACATTGCTGTGCTACTCTCTTATAACAGCCGCCACATAATTCTCATACCATCGCAAAATGACCTATATTGTCCTTACCACATCCTTCAGTAGATCACTAGTGTATATTCGGAAACTACTAAAATTGATATCTGCAAAAATATTATTCCTATGTCAAGGTGGAGAGTAAGTATTAAAGGAAGATCGGAATGAATATAGATTGAGTTGGGTGTCCTGCTCGTCCTTGTCGCCAATTGGTGCGCCTTGCATGGGTTTCTTGTTGCATTTTTCTTACAGGGAATACAGATATGTTCTACTCATTATTCGTACTTCTACTTTTTCCCTTTTGTTTTTGATTTTTTAGTGATATGTTTTGATCTGGAAAACGCACCTGCAAACTTTGCCTGAGAAGGAAATCGAGAATTTTCCAGCAGTAGCAACTTTTTAACTGTTCATCCGGATTTTAGCCTTTAGCGCAGTCCCTTGGGGTTATTGTTGGTCTAGGTACTTACAGGTGTTAACTTAAATCTGATAGAATATACTTGTAGTAATAACTGCGGAACAATCATTGTTAAAGCAAATTATTGTTATGTTTTCAGTCTTCTTCAATAAAATCCGGCCGTAGGGACACGCCTGTACAACTGCAACGCAGACTGTCAAAATCCTAAAAGATGCCTCTTTGTACATGCTGAAATGGGCATCATCGGTAACTTCAGACAGAGCAAAATCCAGTTCTGGATAAAATGCAAACAGCTGTAGATGTGTCAATTAGCAGGCTTCGGAGAAGCAACCAGGTGATCAAAAAGATACCTGTTAGGCTATTACCACTTCTCCCTATTCACTAGGATGCCATGCATTATAGCATCACCAAATAGTAGAGAAAACAATCATGCAAAAGATAGAGGGAACGGCTAGGAGAAGAAGAAGGTGATGCAAACTCCCTTATTAGACGGTACAGCACTATATCTCGTGTTAGCTTCCAGCATTGCTTGAACTTTGAAGTGTTTTTCGCATTTGAGACACAATGCCGCCAGAACATTTTGCCTCCTACAACATCTTAGGAATCCGTGGACCACTCTCAGCTTAACAAAAGAAGTCAGAAAAGAACTATTTACAACCCATGAAGCATCAAGGTGTAATGGATGCATGCCTCCTAAAAATATCCAAGTTGTGTCAAATTATTATTTTTTCTATTGATTTTCTTCCCTCATTGCTCTTAAAATAGGATTATCATCCTCCAGCATGTCATCTTCATCGAGTTCATCCAATCCATCTAGAAATGACTGGTTCACACTTTTACGAGATTGTCTCCTGTATTTCTTGGGCTCCAGCCGTGGTTCTGCTTGCACAACTCCCTTGTCTCCTACTTTGCACCTGTAAGAATGTGATAAGTAAATGTTTTTCTGATGGGTTTGAAATGGTTTGCCATCAATGCCACAGATGAATATCATTTACTATGCTTACCAGTTTAAGCAAATGGACTAACAATAAGACCTAAAATAGAATAAAATAATAAAGAATAGGAAGAGCACAAGAAATCACAAAATAGCAGGCTAGTTAACTGAACTGCAGTACTTAGTTTTACAGATACTCCGAATGAAAACAGGTTTCCTTCCACGAATAAAGAGATGCAAATCAATGACAAGTTTAATCTACCAAGCACACACTTTACTGGGAAAAATGGCCTTTCAGTATTTTACCATCTTTGATTAGGGGAGAACTGTAACTCCTATCATTGGATGATATGGTGTTATGATTATGTTGTAAAGAATATGGATTCTCATTTCTAGAGAATAATAATCCTAAAAAGGTGCAATCAGCACTTCATTCGAGAAGCATCATGAGCAAGTATTAGACTGCAAAGGATGACGCAGGCAAATACAAATTTAGTCTTAGTGAGAGTTTCCTTCAATGGAAAAACATTACACAAAGCAAAAACGCCAATGACAAATTTGGCAACCAATCATAAGGATACTTGGTCACAGAAAAAGTATTGAAATATTATAGTTACATTTTAATTACAGAAACAGAAGAAACCAGATTACCATATATCGCTGATACTTGACCAATGCATAGTAGCTCTGACTTCTTACTTTGTGAAGAAAATTTCTAAGATGTACCTCTAGTTGTGTATGAAATGAATTGAATAAATATTGCGTAGAAGTTCAGAGCTATTCAGAACTTACCTAACATCACCCTCTCGTTTAGTTCCAATAGTCCTCAACTGAAACTCCTCCCTGATTTTAATCTCGTCAAGCAATTGAAGATAGTATGGGTATCTCTCCCAATCACCTTTTACAAGGCACCCCGGTTCACCAAGATGCAAGCAATTGCTGAATGCACACTTTGCAGGTTCGCCATCTTTAAGCATTTTGCGAATCTGAACTCAAAGTAATCAGATTGGAAATTACTAATGAAATTCGCATATATAGTTTGGTTCACATATTGTAAATACACAAAACTTAGAGAACGAAGTAGCGCCATCAGGACAAACCTCTGGAAAATGATGTGCAAGAGAATTTTTTGTCACTTTAATCAAACTAGGCTGGTTAAACCCTGGAGTATCAGCAAGATATCCTCCATCAGACAATGGAAGCAAGGACACATGCCTCGTTGTATGCTTTCCTCTGCCACTTCTTACTGACACTTCCCCAACACGCTGCTCTTCATACCACCTGCTCCCTAGAAGCTGCTAGTCATAATAAAGAAATGGAAACAGTAAACTAAAGGTTTCGAAACAGAAGCAATAATATAATATAAAATGATGAAAAAAGGCCAAACTCACAGGATCAAACCAGTTTCCTTCTTCAACTGCACCAAGAATGTGCTTATTGCCTCTCAAAGCATTGATCAGGCTGGATTTTCCCACGCCACTTGGACCGACAATGACGGATGTCTGTTCTCTCATAATAAACTGGAGTGTATCAAGTCCACGCTTCGACTCAATGCTGCAAAAGATTGGTTCATAACCCCAATTACGAAGCCTAGATTTCCATGCTTTTATTTCCTGCCAAAGTTGATCACCGACTTTAGATGTCTATTATGAAATGATCAGAAAATACAAACAGGAGCGAAGAAATAGTATCAAAACTAACTGAAGTACATACAATGAAACAGTCAATACATGCTAGGATGTTACACAATCTTCTCAGTGAAAACATGTTTTTCATATGTATCCTCCCTTTGTGTTCTCTTTTTATGCTTCTCTCTTTAGTCCATTTGAGTTTCAAAGAGTGAAACTCTAACAGGCTGATATCCTATTTTTCACCTTGCATCCTCGCTTACAACAGAGGTAATTCCCATGCAAAGAGACATGTATTCCATAAATCCATATTTAAGAAATGGAAAATAAACCTAATGCCAATCATCACAAAACATTACTTGAGAAAATCAAAGAAGAAATGACAACAGACAAGTAAAAGGATGTATATAAATTAACAGGTCATTGCTTAATAGGAAGCATCCCAAGGCATAGTGATGTGCTCATAATGGACCTGAATTGCAAAATTGATACATATAATTCATTTATTTAAACCAAACTAGTTTGGGATTGCCATGTAGTTGATTGAAATGCTAATGTGTTCATCTAATCAGTAGATTACTTATTATTCAGAGGCAAACATTTAGTAGAATCAGTACAAAATTACTAGCAAACAACTCAAATTAAAACAACTACTATGCCTCAGTCTCAAATAAGTTTGGGAACGATGAATCCTCACTATACGTTACTTCAGTTAAAAGGTCTCATGCCAATATCATGCTAGTACAGATAAGAATATTAGAATTTCTGTATATTTTCTACACATACAATCTCTGAAAGGCTAAACCACTACTAGAAAGCATAAGACCTACAGTAAAAGTACGAAGTATTAATTACTTGTCAACTAATCAAGACATAAATCAATACTACTTAAGCAGCTGAACTAAATATCATGTTCTAAGAATTATGACAAAACTATCACATAGCAGTGTTTTTGTATTGCTAACCTCTTGAGAAACAAGTTCAGATTTATTCAAGGCAAGGGTGAGAGGAATTCCAGTGGATTCAGCTTCAACAAGGAACCTAGTGAGGGAGAATGACTCGACCTTCGGCTGATCCAATGAGAACAATACTAGCAAATGATCCACATTAGCTACCGGAGGATCCAAAATCTCCGTCTTCCTCTGAAACACATTCTCAATAGCTCCTCGTCTATCCACCCAATCAATCGAACCTACCAATACCTTATCCCCTACCAATACTCTCCTCTTTATCTTCTTCAACACTGCCTTCACCACACACAACAACTCCACTCCTATTTCCCCTGAACCCTTCACGAACCTTCCAGAAGGTTCCGTACAAGTTTCTTGTGGAGGAAGTGACTGGACGATAACGCGCATGAAATTCGCTTGTGAAGAAGCGACGGTTCCGACGGCTTGGTCGTGAGAGAGGCGAGGCATGTTTTCGTGAGAGAGAATCGGTGCTAGAGTAGAGAAATGCTTACTAATAGTCTCCCGAGCTTTGAGGAGATTTTTGTTCGGCTGTTGGAGCTTTCTTGAGACATTGTTAGGGTTTTGATGCCGGCCGGCGGCGGCGACGACGGAGAAGAAGCGCTGACGAGCGGCGGAGACGGCGAATGGAAGCCGGAGAAGTGAACATGAAGAGATCGTCATTTGTGGAGAAGGATAAACGGTGCTGGCTTTAACGCTGAGAAGAAATCTGAGCAGCCATGGAATTGGAAGGTTCCGTAGTGTAGCTATACAGAGTATTTGAGCAGAGTCCAGTGTTTTCCGCGTGTGAAGAGCAGTTGAGGAGAATGCAAAACGAGCTTGCCACGCGGCAGTATATTTTAGGATAATTTTTCCTCTTTTTTTTGGGTTCTTTTTTTTTTCTCTCTCTTAATTATAAGGAAGGATTAAAGAAATGCAAGTGTTGTTACCACTTACTTAACAAAATGAAAGAACTTTGACAACTGGTGATAACTAACTTCATAACACATTAAGCAACCACAATGATTCGAAATTAGTTAGAATACATAAACAACCCTTTAAATTTGCTCGATTTTTTATTTAGACACTTAGGGGTCGTTTGGTACGTGTAATAAGTGTAAGCACGTGATTTTTGCGCGACCCAAAATACTCCTACAGAACCTCACAATAGATTTTTGTAGGTCATTTTCATTTTATAGAGTTTCTAGGAATATTTGTTTAAGTATTCTTATTTTTTGCATGCATTAAAGCATAGAAAATACACCAAAAATATCAAAATTCCATGCATTGCATATTAGGTAGTGTGTTTGCATTTTAGGATTAATTTGGTTAATTGATTGCTATTAAAATAAAAATCACAAAAATATCTTTCTTTTTTACATTTTAGCCTTTAATGTTAAGTTAGTAATTTTCTCTTCTTTAATTTAGGATCAACTAATTTTGTAAATATTATAATTAGGTAATTAGCTTAATTTTGCAAACTAGATTAATTTAAGATTTTAATTAATTAAAGAAAGAAAAAAAGAAAACAAAGAAAAAGAAAATTGGAAAAAAGACTTGGTCTTGTTACATTAGGCCAATTTGTTAAATTAGCCCAAATTTAATTCCTTTTTGACCCAGTTCCGCCTAGCCCAACTTCCCCACACCCGGCCCAACCCCAGCCTTACCTGAAACAACACCGTTTCCTTTAGTTAAATCCCAGCCGTTGATCTCCTTTGATCAAACGGTTGGGAACTTAATCCCCCCCCCCCCCAAACCCCTCAGACCCCCCCTCACATTCCCCTCATCTCTTCAAACCCCAAACCCTAGCCGCCCCCAAACCCTTCACCGCCTCCGCCGCCTTCCGCCGTCGGAAATCGCCTCACGGCGGCGGTCGGTCTCCAAACCACTCCAAAATTACACCAGATAATCCTCACCTCTCTTTCTTCCCAAATCCACCATTAGTTTTCACTAAATCCCACCCAAATCCCACCGATTTCAAATCTGAGAGTTCAACCCCAAAACCCACATGGCGCCCAAGTAACCCCAAAACTACACCCTACACCCCTTACACTCCTTTAAACACTAGTCTAGTGTTGATTTCCCCAAAATCCCCACTCTTTTTCATTAGTTCCAGATCGAAATGGAAACCCTAGACCCGTTCCTGTCTTTGATTCGTCATGCAAAACCTGAGTCCCATGCTTTCGAGTTTCCAAAGGCAATTTAGGCCTGAAACTGGTGTTAATCATTTGTTCTCAACAAGAACATCCGATTAACACTTATTTCGCTTTAAATCGGAGAAGGCCGGAGTCCCACCTGAGCCAACTGCCGTCCGTCTAATTAGGTATCTCTAATCCTCTTCTTCTCTTTCTATTTCTTCGTTCTTTTCTTCTCTTTTCTTTTATCTTCTTCTCTCCTTCTTCACTGTGTCTCCTTTTATTTTCCCTTTCTTTGACCAAAAATGAAGAATGTTTAGGTAGCCTTAATCTGTGGACTATTAGAGTTTTTCTCATGCTTAGTCAGTAGGTTTTGGGGTTCCTTAATCTATGTATCTGGCCTCAGAATCATCAGTTTTTTCGGTTAGGGTTTGTTAATTTGGTTTAGCTCTGTTTAACCCATTTAACTCGTAAAGCAAGTTTAGTTTATTGTTAGTCTTAGTTATTGTTTGATTTAATTAGTTTAACTTTCAATAGCTTGGTTTAATTACTGCCTAATTAGCCTAGGTTTAGTTTGTATTCAGTCATCTCGAATTATCGTCATTAAAATTGTTAGTCTGAAGAACATTTGTGGTGTTTCATTATAAATTTGGCTCATTTTAGAGGTTAGGATTATTTTAAGTTTTCAGATGTTCACTTTCAGCTTTGTTATTTGCTTTTGATTTGTCTATTTGCCTGTTGGTTTCTGTTTGCCACAGTTTGTTAGTCATTTAGAACTTGTAGGGGTTAATTGAACAATAAAGAAACTTAAGGGGGGTCATCGGAAGGGTATGGAATGAGAATTTCAGATAAGGCCAATGAAAGAAGGGTCTAGAATAGGGGCAGCTGGCCTCATTTGGTTAGTACAAAGTGCAGAAGCCAATGAGGGACGACCAGCTGTCCGAGTTTGTTAAAAAGATGCCTTTGTGGCTAAAGGGATAATTCCCTGATTCTGTTGTTCAGTAGATGGCATTTCAGTGGCTTATAAATAGAACCCTTCCCTCACTCCTTAGATAGATTTTTCAGACCCTAAAAATACCTTAAAAAAATTTAGCTCTATTATTTTCATTGTTAGCTCTTCATTCTGATCTTCACCAAAAGTTAGAACAAAATTCTGGGAAACTTCTGGTCATCTCGAGCTGAATATGGTTTGACGGTGAAGCTGTTATGCTGCACCTTACTGTTGTATCTAGAAGTTGATTTCTATCGTGTGTTTGCATTACTTTTGCTTAGTCTTTTGCTGTTATTTCTGCATTTAGGTATGTAAACCCTACCTACCTTATTCTGTTTGAGTTAATGCAATGAAAAGATGATGTTCTTCTTGTTATACTTATGTTTGATTACTAAATATTAGTATGTTTAGTTTCTGGTGTAGTTATGCTATTCTTGTTAAAGTTTGTAGTAGTTCGAATGGTAGAAAGAGTTTGGTTTAAAATTAATAATATTAACTTGCAAGCATGACTTAACTTCTAGGGGTTTTGAATGGTTGTTGATCTTTGTTGTTTGTCATGATAAACTCGTGAATCAGTTTTTTGAAATAGCATTGAAAGAAGTTTGACATGTCGTTCCTCTAATTTTTCCTTGTGTGTTGAAATCTTGAAGAGTTATAATCGCACTAACTGTTTGCTCCATTTGTTTGCAACTATGATAAGTCGAATGCAGATTTGCAAGCTAGCTCTGTAGCTATCCTTGCAAATGCAAGCACTGTTTTGAATCACAAATCACATGGGCTGAAGTACGTTGCCTTAGCAGAAGAACGGGATATTTTGTGAAGCTTCTCATTGATAATTAGCTAGACACCAAGACAACTGAGTCATTATGATTAGAATTGTATAAATTTGTTTTCAATTATCTGTTTTGTATAACCTGCTTTAGTTACTCTTGTGTACCATTAGTCAATTTTTAATTTCCAAGATTTTATGTGATCGCTATTAAACATATTCAGTAGGCCAACAGGCTTTGGTAACAAATTAGGCCGAAAGTGGGCCTAGATGGGTGTCCTGGTCAGGATCACCTCTGCTGTGGTTCAGGACCCTTTTCTCGCACGCTGGGTTCAATTTCAAGGCCCAAACAGTGTCAGCATTTTGTGTCTTTAAAAAGATTGTGATCAAATAGTCTGTTGGGCCTTCTGCAGGCCCAGTTCGCCATGCCTTACGTAATTTCTTCAGCAATTTCATCTATTAAATTTTCTGCTTAGTGTAATAAAAATGGGCTTCTAGTACTGAAGGCACAATTGTACAAAGTTGGGCCTGGAATTTGGCCCACTTGAAACTGTGTGGCCGTCTGCCTTTATCCTCGCTCATGGGCTCGATTTTGAGCCCAATTTTCTTATTTCCCTTAAAAAAAAGAGAAAAGTCTTTAGATAATTCTGGGCTTGATGCTGGCCCAGATTTCTTGTAAATAAAGGCTCAGCATATCACCTTTTATTTACTTACAATTAGTATTTTTAGATTGAACCTTAATTTAGTTTCCAACATGAATATCCGTAGAATGCTTTAGGCACGCTTAATATGTTATCGTTGTCGCGTACACGTTCGCGTGACGTAATTACGATCTTAAAAAAAAATCGGAGTATGCGTTCGCGCAACTTCGACTAAACTTTCTTAATAATAATTAAGTGTTAGGAATCGTGGACACGTATGTGTGACATGATTCTTGACATGCCAAACGAAATGAGTACACGTACGCGTGACTCATTTTAGGATAATTTCTTAATTAAAAGAGATAAAATGCACATAGGTTCCAAAACATGTAATTAGACAATTTAATAAGCCTGGTATATGATTAAAGCGACCGTGCTAAAACCACGGAATCCGGGAATGCCTAACAGCTTCTCTCGGGTTAACAGAATTTCTTACGCAATTTCTGGGTTCGCAGACCATAAATAGAGTCAACTTCCTCGATTCAGAATTTTAGACCGGTGACTTGGGACACCATAAATTATCCCAAGTGGCGACCCTGAATTTGATAAATAATCCCATTTTGATTGTCACTTAAATTGAAAAAAAACTCCCTCATATCCCCCTTTTGGGGTAGAAAAAGGAGGTGTGACAGCTCTGGCGACTCTGCTAGGGACCCGAACCTAGAATCTCTGGTTCAGGGTTCAAGAATTCGAGCTTTTAATATAATTTTTACTTGGCTTTATTTATTGTTAATATTACTGTATTTCGTGAACCTAATATGCTAATTGCTGTTTACTTGCCATTTCAATATTGCTTGAATTTTATTAAAATGCCTTCTTATGCCACCCTTCTGAGTCTTCTAAAATATGGTGCACACGTACGCGCGGCCCACTTTCTGTTAGAAGTCATACCAATTAGAATGGGGCTTGGGTCAGCAACAAGGCCGGGTAGACTTTCGTGCTCCTGGTACGTTGCCCTCACCTCAGCTCGAGCTGTCCGCTCGGGTAAGCCAGGTCTAGAACACAACCCCAAGTTTGAACCTAGAATAACATAAACTCAGGCCGGATCCTTAGTAGGAACGTTTGTTTGCATCACGTGCATTTGAATTAGGGGACTCAACATAGGGGTTGGGTCCGTCTAGGACAGGTGTACCCAAAATAACAGACCATCCTGATGCATCTTACGTGCTATGTGAACATTTATTTGTTTCGGCCTGCATGCTGATAGGCTAGGAAAAAAATCAGGGGAAAAACCAAGAGTGAT